AAAAAAACATCTAAATATTTGTCAGAACAGAAGCAAATTTTTTAAGACCTGTAAGAAATGAAAGTTTCATCTTTAAAAAAAGCAGTGCACAGATTTCTCAGCAACTTCGATCTATCTGTATAGCACTTTTGCACTGTCGTCACTGATTTGTTCACAGAATAAATATACGACGATAAAAGCCGTAGTGCTCAAAAATGCCCATAAGCTCGATCAAGTGCTGTCTGAAGTTACCACTTGCAAAAAAACGTTCATCGAGAAAGTTAAACAGGTACTCAAAGCAGTCCCGGGTGAGAAGTTCATTGTGTGTAAAGCTTAATTTTGACTCACTCTGCGCAGTATGTTAAAAAGCGACATATATTAAGCATTTGGAAATAAAGAACTCGTTTTGCTTTTTTTATTGTATTTCAGAGTTTGAAGCTTCGTGGTGTTAAGAGCAGTCCTGCTGACTTAGAAGAACTTTATGGTTTGGTAGGTTTTTGAGAATCTTTTACAAAATATTTCTACATTTCCAAGATTTTGGCTTTTCTCATATTTGGAAAGTACTCTGTGTTAGTTCTCTTAACTCACTTCTGGTTAGGAAACAAGTTTATCGCTTTATAAATCAGGAATGTTTGTTTAAAACACGCTCTCTTGGTATATTCCAATGCTGTCGGGCTCTCAAAAGAAATTGATTCAGAAAACTGACTTTGCGTTTTTTGTTTCGATACTGTTTATTTACCAAAGTACTGCTGCTTCACAAAACGGCTCAAAGGCTCTTCTGAACACTTTCGTCATGACTCCTTTACTGCAATTGCCATTTAAACTTCTGCATCTTTTTCATTAAAGTGAGTAGCCCATAATACGCAGCGAAGGATAGATTTTTACAATTTTTTGATAAATCATTTCTGTCTCCTTTATACTTTTTTCTTATCATTCTTTTTTTCCTTTAATCGTGGTAATAACTTCAAAATGTGTGTCTCTTCCCCGGCTTTTGAAAGGTCAGGGGTTCACTTACGTAGACCGCCGCCTTACTTAATTTTATTTTTTATAATTTTTATAGCATTCGTTATATAACTTAAGAAGTAGAAAATAGAAAATTACAATCAAAACTTCTTCTTTTGTAATTAAGAAACAACGTATTTTAGTACACGGAGGGGCATCAAGATATCACTTCTGAAGATTTAAGACAGTTGCGTAAGCGAGAAGAGTCAGCATTTCTAAAGGAATTGAAAGAAGGAATCACTAAGATAGCCGATGGGTCTTTTTCAGTATGGGCTGATGATTTCACACAGTTCGTTAATGTATGTTCCATCTTTTCCATTTTTCTTTTTTGTGGAAGACATTTAAAACCGACTAGAAAGAAGCGATAGTTTGCAGAAGTTTTATGTATCTTCATACGTTAACAAAAGTTGTATGAGAAAGCGTTTTAAGATATCCTGAAACATCTCAACTGCACTTGGCGATCTGCCGTTTTAATTGCAGAAAGAGTGGTTTGCTATCGAAAATAACATTATCCGGAACAAGGGTATGCTTAATAAGGCAAAAGCTCTACTTGCACAGTGCAAAACTTCCTACGCTGAGAATCTGAAAAGGGTATTGTTTAGTTTTAAAATAGCAAACAACAAAAAATTACTTAGTAAAGCGAAGGAACAGTAGTGCCTAAAAATAGTTCTAAACTTTTGTACCTGAATAGATGCGTAATAGGTCATTCCGGACACTTTGTTTGGTATTTGTAATTAGTGTTTGAAAACGAAGATAAAATCTGCTGCTGATCATTTTTATTATTTCACTACAAAATTAGAAAAGTGAAACGTTGTGATTTTGCGACTGAATAATTTTACATAGATCCTAACAAACTATCAACATAACAAAAATGGACAAGTGCTTGATTCGATAAGAACGTTTATATTTATAGAGAAATAGTAAAACAAATTATGGTTTTACAATATAGAATTGCAGTGTTAAGAAAACGCATTTTATCTTCAACACTAACACCAAATAGGAAAGTTTTAATAAACAAGCGTAGTCGACATCTTTCCAGTATCCTGTATTTCAGACTTTAACAGAACATGGAGCAAAAGACTGCGCAATGACTTTAGAAGAGCTTTACGCACAGGTGATTTGTTGAGCACTAGTTCTGTCGATGACAGAAATTAATTTTTGTAAAATGTATGCTTTGAAAGATGCGTTTCAGAGTACAATAGGAAGGCAGTTTACTGCTGAACAACTAAACCAGTGGCAAAAACAAAAGAAGCATGACACTGTAGCTTTGTTCGAAACAGAAATCAGAAAAATTGCTGCAGGATCGTCTGCCAAATGGGCTCAAGACCTAAATAAGTTTACTGAGGTTTCTGTTCAACAGGAGACACTATCTTATTGTGTCGAAAAACAAATTATTAATGAGGATTAACAGCAGCAGTGTTTTAGTGACTTGATACTGGTGGCTGCTGTGAAAGAGTATTTAGTGTCAAAAAATATAATATTCTTAAAGAAACGGTTGACATGAAGTAAGTACCACAATTATAGGATGTATGCAGCAAAACTGAAGCAGAGGTTTTTAAAAACAGAAGTAATCTTGAGAGAATTGTATCAGCGCTCACAGAGTCTAAAAATGCCTTTTCTCAAAACATATGGAAGGTATCTTTCTCTTCTCAAAAGTCGTTTAAAAAATGACAGTAATTAATCGTTGTTTGTGAAAATGAATTAGGAATTAATTCAGTTTGCTGAAGGCTGTTTCATTCTGATGGCCTGGCTTTTTCCAGCCGATGAGTTTTATAAACAGTAATCATAGTAAATATGACTCTAATTTAGTGCAGCTAAAAAGAGCGATAAGAATGAAACTGAAACAAATCTGTTTATTGTCAGTTCTCTCAATTCAAGATAGAATTTTGCTAAAGCGCAAAATTTTAAAGTAAGATAGATATCTTTTACAGAGAGTATAACTCAAATACAGGACATTATTAAGATGTGGAAAAGTAGAGTGATAAACAAAGATTAGCAGCAACTGCAACATTACTGCAGCTTGAGAATTTTTTTATACGAATTCTTCTGACTGTTGAGAAATTAGCTTGTCTAGAAAATACTAAATGCAGGGTCATTGCTTTATTTGTCACGTTAACTAAAACTCATTAGTTTTTTTACACTGATTTTTCAGAATCTTGCATGTTACGGAATACAGAGAACTGTAGCAGATTTGGAACAACTTTATCGAATGGTAATCTCTAATGCACAGTTTTTAAAAGGAATGTCTTGAAGTTTGACTGAAAACAAAGACTGAAATAAATCACATCTTCCCTACTTTCCCGAATGATCTCAGTAGACTTGATGAAACAACCTTGAAAAATTTTTTACAGCTACTACTTGGTTTCTTTCACTTCTTTATATTGTATAGTTTTTTTTTTTTGCTTCGTACTACTTTTCTACTTTAGAGCTTCAATTCCGGTACCACTATTTCGGAAGTGAAGCGAAGACTTCAAAACGAAAAAATTAAGGCTCAAAATCAATTAAATTCGGTGATTGGGAAAATTGCTAAAGGTTTACCAGCAGTGTGGATGAGAGAATTTGAAAAGTTTGCTGAGGTTATCTTGCAGTAATTTCATCTTACTTTGACGAGTACGCTTGCATGTCCTGAGCTGAACAGATGAAGTGCATACCAGTCAAAAATACTAATTTCTTCCAGCCGTGTTTTTACATCTTACAAAAACTCACTTTTCTACACTTTCTCTGCCTGCAATTCTTGTTATAGAGCGTCTGTTGCACAGCAGAAAGCAATTTTTGTCAAAACAAAGAAAATTTCAATAAAGTGCTGAATTTGCGCAGCAAATGCGAAGAGTTATACTCTGAAAAAATAAAAAAGGTAATTTTCTCTTTGCATTAAGACTTCGTTTTTTAGCACACTTAGTCGTTTCCTGAAAAACTGGAATTTTTTGACGCTTATATATACTCTTATGCTTTGACTTTGCACGGCAAACAATTAAAAATTCTTTTACAACAATTAAGAAGTTTAATAGCAAAAAACTGCTAAAAGCTTAATCTTATCATATTTTTAAAATATTAACTAGAAACCTTTCGTAAAAAGAAGTGAAAAAGTTTTTCTCTTAGTTAGAACTGAACTCTGTAGATGGACTTCAAAGTTAATTGCTAAGAGCACATCATTTCAGTAATTTCAAACTGCAAATTGCTCTATAGCGCAAGGTAACTTTCAAGAAAAAATTTTCTCAAAATTCTCACTTTTATTACTCAATATTTCTCATTATTTCTCTTATCAGTACCTCTTTGTATTTCAGGATTTAACTTTACGGGGAGTGATTTACACTTCGGCTAGTTTAGAGAATCTTTATGAAGTGGTATGTTGTCATTATTCAGAAATATTTACTAGAGTGTGAAAATTTTACTTTATATAATGGTCATCTAATTTTTTCATGCAATTTAGTGGAAAGATAATCCCGATTTCATAAAAAACAGAATAACTTACGAAACTTACCAACTAAATTTAAACAAAAAAAACTTAAATTTTAGAAAATGCGAAATGGTAGGTCGTTACCAAAGAGAGGGTTTACAAAAATTAGCTATTTAGAGTTACAAACTTGTTTTCAGACCTGAACTGATGAAATTTCCGCACAGAAAACTACTATTAATCCTGAAAAAAGAGCTATTATAATAATTCTTAGTGAAGTTTCAATTTTTTTGCTGAAATTTTTATTTTTGAGAAATTAATTGAAGTTTTCTGGCTTACGGTAGAAATGTAAACATCTGAATTACAAATGACAAGTTAATTTTATATGGCTTTGTAAGATCAAAAAGATTTTTGAGTAACTTGATGATATTCATCAAATATAAAAAACTGTGCTTTTCTGAGCTTTTTTTTAGAAATCGAAAACAGTTTTATCAAATTATGAATTGAAAAGCCTAAGCGATCAGAAGAAAAGTGAAGCAGTGAACACTTTTAAAAAAGCCCTGAAAGAGATCGCTGGTGGATCACCTGTACCTTGGGTTAAAGATCTGGAAAAAAACATTGACGTAATGAGACTTTATATGCAACTTTTTTTGGGTTATACTGATACAGCAAACAAAAGTAAAGTTTAAATTATCTTCATTCTGTCGCAGTAGCGTGGAAAGTAAGAAAAAAACGCTTAACAGACAATAAAGTCTTTATTTGTTTCCAACCTCAGCGCATGATCATGCGTCGATTACCGGTAAATTGCAGTACAGATATCAAAATGTAGAAGCGACTGTACGCAAAAATAACCAAAATCTTCAAAAAATTCTTGATACACTTGCTCGTCATAGAAATTCTTGTGTCAACCAAATAAAACAGGTAATCTTTCAGCTATCTGCACAAAAATGAATCACTTATTGTCAATTAAGTATCATGTACTTTTTACAAGATTTAGGTTTTCATTTACATCAAAATTTGCGAGCTGTACCTGAATTAAGAAATCAGAAGTTTCTTTTTAAAAACTCTTAGATATTACTTGCACATAAAGCTGACTCTTCCGAGTAAATAGCTATTAAGCTGAGTTTTTTACGTTATCAAAATTTAATTTTTTACAGAAGCATACGGTTGTTTGACACAGAACAACTTCAGCTAAAAAACCCGTTCAAGATTTTTAGCTTCATTTAAAGCTTTATAGATTTTCAACGTTCAATCGTTTTTCAGAATTTAGCTGAACATGGGCTAAAGCGTAGTTGGGCTAACTTAGAAGAACTTTACAAATTGGTAAGCTTTGTTTAAAGGAAAACAATTGAAACTTTTATATTCACAGTTTGGGTGTTGACATCTGAAAGCAGGTGGCAAAAATAATCTTTATACAGTGCTTTCGCTCGTTTTTTGATATGCTGTAAACTCTAAAACACGCCTTTTTAAAGATGTTTTTTAGCGCCATCAAAGGAGAGGTTTTACACTACGAGACTTAGGCAAACAGGAGACAGATGAAGCTGTATTGGCATTAAAAAGAGAAATTGAGCCAATTACTTGTGGATCATCGGAAAATTGGGTCAGAGATTTGAGGCAGAGCATTGAGGTATTGTCGTTTCATCTCAATATACTTTCTAGGAACAAAAGTGCAGTGATTAGAGGAAAAGTGGAACTTAGATAAACTCATTTTTAAAAGTCATTAAAAAGACGTGTTTTGGGTACGGAGTATATCTTATTTTGGTTAAAGTCATAACGCAAGTTCAAAAAGCACTCAAAAAATTCTATTTCAGGTCGTATATGAAGAGATTGAGACATTTGAGCAAAAAAACGCCGAAAATCTTCAAAGAGTTTCAAGTTTACTTGATAGCTGCACAAACTTTTATGTCAATCAAGTACGACAGGTAGTTTTTCTGTAATTCAAGAAAGAGCGTATTGACAAGTACTAATCGATTAGCGCGCTGTCTGTGGAAAGCTCAAATTCAAACAATATTTTTGCATGGAACTTGGGATCCTAAACAACTTCTTTTTTTTTTTTCTAATAAAATGATGATTTGCAAACAGACTAATAATTTAAAGTATTTCGATTGATGAAACCTACTTTTCTAAAAATGGAATGTCTGGTATTATGAAATACTTCTTTTTCATACGGTTTCCTAAAACATTTCAGTTTAGTTAAACTTTTGATAATTTTATTAAGTTCTGCGTACATTTCAGGGGTTGAATGATCTCAATATAAAAGTTTCTCTTGCAGACCTAGAGCAGCTTTATAATTTGCGTTATGATTGTTATGAGGTAAAATGAAAATACCTTGTAAGTTCAGTAGTTAAATTTAGGCTTAAATAGGTGTCACTTTAGAAAGATCGAAATTGCGAGTTGTGATGCAGAAAGTAAATCTTACTAATTTTCTCTTTAAAATAAACTGCTTTTTTTACATTTCAATACTGTTACTTAAAATTGCTATTTTCGAAGAAACAAAATTTATATTGTAGTTTTTAATGAACCTGTTAATTATTAAATCCTTTATTTTTGAGAATAATATTCAAGGCTCGCTCATGCACGGTTCTAATGTAAACCACTGAATATCAAGTAATGATTTCTTACACAGCTTTGAAAGATTTTGCAGGTTATTTAGCAAAACTACAGTGTATTTGAGAGAATAAGTTTCAAAAGACGTTTTTCAAATTTCAGGGCTACCCTTGTAATGCATTAAACCAACTGCACGGCCAGAAACGACAAGAGGCTATAAGTAAACTTACTGAAAAAATTACAGCTGTTGCTAGTGGATCAACCACATTATGGATTAGTGATCTGGAGCGGAGAATCTCGGTGTCGTTACTTCATCATCACAATTTTTGCAGCATATAAACAACTACAAACCATAGCAGAATTAGATTATTTTATATTCTAGCTTGTTTAGTAGTACTTAGACAGAAAACACCTCAGGCGCAGTCAAACCCTGCTTTAATTTTAACGTTATTTTATGATCATATGCTAATCCCCAATATTTTTCCAGAACGAATACCAACAAATGAATTCAACCCTGCAAAGGAATGCTAACAATCTCCGAGACGTCGAAAATTTGCTCACTAATTGTGCATTTTTTTATACGAACCAAATGCACCAGGTAATTGTTCTTTTTTGTGTATGAAAACCCAATAGCGATTTCCAAATCGGTGTTAGGGAGTTAGCGCGAAGGTCAAAAGGGTTTTCCTGGTATTGATTTCACAAAATTAACTCGCTTGTATTAATGAGTATGAATTAGGTATTTTGAGCACATTTTCTGATTTAAGTAATGATCTATAAATGCGTTGCTAACTTAAACTATTCACATTGTTGAAATCCTTATGTTGTTTTAATGCCAAGTCGTTTTATTACAAAAAACAACTTCTAGCAACATTAACGGTTTGAGTTATTTAGTTCTATCCAAATCTTTATAATTTTTCTCAACTTCTGCTCGTATTTCAGCAGTTAAATAGCTGTGGAATAAAATGCACTAAAGCAAATTTACAGGAACTTCATGTCATGGTATGTTTCGACAGTTTCAACAGTATTCTGCTAAATCGCTTTACTTTCTAGTTCGGTCATCAGTCGTTTAGCTTTTCACATAATCTAGCAAATTGAAAACAAATAATTTTTTTAAAGCAAAGACATATTACAAATGAAAAAGCTGAATTTAAATCACAAGAATAAAGAATTCTAAAACAATTTGATTTACCAGTTGCTGCGAAAAGTATAGTTCATGCAAATCTGCCATGTAAAATCAAAAATGATTTTTATAAAATCAGTTTTACAACAACTGTTTGTAAAAATAGCATTATCTCTATAAAAAAACCTCTACCGTATTCCTTGAAAGACGCCTACCTCTGTTTATGGAAAAAACTTTTGGAGATAATGAACGAAAATTACTGTCTAGTTGATAGTTCAAAAAGTTATTAGTAAACTTTTATTTATATGGCATTTTAAAATTACAATGTTTCTCCAACGCTATTGTAATTGAAGTAATGATTGAGGTTTGACAGTGGTTTTCACCATCGTGATTTTTAGCATTTAAAAGGAGGTATAAATTTTGATGTACTGAGAGACCTGGATGAACAAAAAGAGTTGGAAGCCGTGGAGAAATTTAACAGAGAAGTCGGAAATATTGTATGTGGATCGTCCAATCAGTGGGTTAATGATCTGCGGAACGATATTGCTGTACTCTTCGTTCATCTGCCTATGCTTTTCATAAAATAAATACGCAATTAATCAAAATGTTGCGCATTCGGTTTCAGCTAAGCAGTCAGAAACATACTCCGTTTAAGCCAGAACTTCTATTGATTTAAATCTTATCCCATGGCCATGCACCGCTGACTAATACCATTGCAGAACAGATATCAAGACATAGAGAACGTTGTTTCCAGAAATGCTGACAAACTTCAACAAGTCTTGAATATAATTGAGGAGTGTGAAAACTTTTATCTCAGAAAAATCAAAGCGGTAATCTTTTTTTTCTTGCACGGCGGCCAGCGGAGAGTTACACAATTCGTGCAGGATGCAAAAAGATTTATTGTTGCCAAATTTTAGGAAGCTCATGACGACGTTTCTTTAGCTTACTTAGACGGGCTGCGTGACCAGGTGTCGTCCAAAGCCTTGAGAATGCTTAGCAACAAACTGATAGAAATCGGTTGTGGATCATCCACAAATGTTTGGACTGAAGATCTGAAGAGGACTGAGAGAGGATGGTGTAAGCACCGGATAAGCTTTATTTCCTGATGGGTTTTGCATTACAAAACACGTACTTCGTTGTCGTGAAAAATGTTAAGACACGTAAACCAGTCGACGATTCCACACTGAAAAAAAAACTATTCAAAAATATCTCCAGGCACTCCCTTTTAAACATTTTACATAAATTATTGTTCCTCATGCTTCATATACTGTCGCTGCGTCATTCTTTAGGGAATGGAAATGACGTCGACTTAAATATGATTTACAGAAGGGCGTCGACACAACCAAAAGTAATAACGACAACTCATCGTAGACGCGATCCCAGTCCGGACTGCACACTGCTCTAATAGAGATGCATGGCAGCACTGTAGCCATGGATTCACATCCTGAAGATCCGCTACACCGCAGGATACATAACACGTAAAAATAATGCAGTGTGGCTGGTGTGTGCGACGACGCAGATTGTTTTTTTATACTGATGAAAAAATTCTCTTGTTTTAATACTAAAGATATAGAATAGTGAAAAAAATTTTTTCTTCTTGTAACTTGACTGAAGCTTCAACTATTTTTGCCTGTAATTCTCTAATACCACCTAATTTCTACAGCATTCGTCAGAATAAGTTGTTCTACGTGTGGGCCCTACAGCCGCATTTGTCAAGTTTTGTGCAACCCTAATGTTTTCACCCCTTCTGATTGAAGTTGTCAAAGCCCAGAGACTGTTTGGCCGCACTAAAATAAGTGACGTTCTCATCGTCTTTTATATTTCACGATTTATTTTTGCTTTTGTGCGTCCGCTTTAGATAATAATAAGTGATTTTTCCCAACGCAGAAACATATTTCGAAACTGGCAGTACGCATGACAACGGGTTGAATCAGGATAACTTTAAATATCTG